TAGTGTTGTTCCAAAAGCCTTCAAAATGTCATTCTAAAATTCTCATAAATTTGAAAAATACGTGATAGAATGTAGTGTTGTTCCAAAAGCCTTCAAAATGTCATTCTAAAATTCTCATAAATTTGAAAAATGTTACTCTCCCACCTCAAACAAATCTCTTCTACCCTCAAACACTTTCAGTCCCACTCTCCCACTATCCTACACCAGATAGATATAAAAAATATATATATAAAACCACCCATCTATCCATATCTCCTTAAACCATTACTTCTAACAATCCACAACTACAAATACATGTACTTCATCAACTTCTTTCATCAGCAGTGAACGCCAGCAGTCCACAGTCCACCATCAAATGCAAGTCTCGATTTTTCTTTTTCTTTTACTTTAATAATTTATTTTTTGTTCCAAGCATTTGAGATTTTGTATTTTGAGTACAAAGATTATAGAAAATTGTAATATCCATGTCTCTGTTTTTATTTTTCTTTTGCTCTAATAATTTGTAGTATATTGTGTCCTTGAGGATATCTCTTGAGTGTTTACTCCACCAATTTTGAATTTTTATTGAAGACTTAATAGGATATATATAACTCAATCTTCTCTCCGGTTCTATATCTCTCTCCCTCATCTCCATTGAAGAATCCTATAAACACAAATCTCTCTCCTCTGCCCCACCCCATAGAGCTTAATTAAGTGTACATGGCTATTGTTTATGAGGGCAACAAACATGTCTTTGTTTCTCTTTTTCTTATGCTCTGAAAATTGTAGTGCCCATGTCTCTGTTTTTCTTTTTCTTTTGCTCTGATAATTTATTTATTTTTCCAACTATTTGTGATTTTGTATTTTCATTATAAAGATTGCAGAAAAAGCAAGGGTAATTTACCCATAACTTTACGTGCAGACATAGGTAGATTAGTTTAGGAAATCCAACTGCACTTACGATTCAAAAATGACAAGCTTAGAATAACATGCACATGGGCTGCTGAAGTTGCAGATTTTCAAACCACAAATTTTTCAAGTTTTAAGAGAATTTCAACTCAAACAACTTTCAAGCCCAATTTTGTAGATTCATTATGTTTCTTCTCATTAATGGTTCACTTTTATTATTGAAATACCTTTAATACACTTGTACAAAGACACATTTTTGTATTTATTGAGGAAAGTATGGGTTTGATTTGCATTAGGAATTTAAATAGTGTTCATATACATTCGATTTTTGACAGATTATAATTTAAATTGTGTTCATATAAATTCTTTTGATTACAGTATTGTTCTTTTTTTTTTCTTTTTTTTTTGACATGTCTTACTTTGAGATATGGTAAGAGATGGTTTATAACGGTCCCACTGTGGATGGTACTATGAGTGTTCCAATCAAAATTTAATCTTTCATTTTTAGTTTGTTTACAAAATCCAAAATTTATATGTACATACTTGGTTTAAAAATCGAAAATATTATGTTTTGAAATGAAAATTCTACCATATTAGACATGATTTCAATTTTTTTGTATTTCTTTATAGTTTTTAATTTAAGATTAAAATTTAATTAATTATTTTCATTACTTCTTTAATTTCTTAGATTGCAAGAATCTATTAAATTTAATACTATATTTTGTTTATGATTTTAGTGGATAAATAATTCAATAAAAAATAAAGTTTAAGATGGTTAAAAGTATATTTTGATAGGTATTTGTAGTGTTCCACCAGTAAGATAATGTAAGTTTACCATTATATTAACAATACATGTTAGTTTTATTTTTATTTTATGCTATGAAAATAAAATCAATAATTTTACACATAATACGACTAAATTTATTTTGGGTGGAATAAGGGGAAATTAATTAATTTTATGTATGTTATAAAATCATAACAGGTATTAAGTTATTTGTGTATTAAACTCATAATTTTTTTAAATTTTTTTTTTTATAATTTTACACAACTTTTAAATTTACAAATAATACTCTATTTGGTTTGGAGTTTTCAAAAACAGTTTTTTGAGTTTTCAATTCGTATTTTTATATTTTTAGTGATTTTTAAAATATTTTTATTTTTATTTTTATTTTTTAGATCTACTTAATCTTGATATACTTAAAAGGTATAAAATTTGTACAAAAATCTTTAAAAGATTTATTGAATACAGCAAAATACGAACATGTATTGAATTTTCTTATTTTTGTTTTTTTTTTGTATTTGGTGAATTTAAAAAAATTTAACATAATTATTATACTTTTTAAGCGTATCTATATTAGGTATATCTAGAAAATTTACGTAAAATGTTAAAAAAAATTACTAAAAAATAAAAACTTAATTTTCTAAAAAGTTTGTATATAAGAGAAACAAAATGATAAAAAAAAAAACGAGTATAATATATACGGACAAAAAATATTTATCCCGTGCATAGCACGAGGTGAATGCTAGTATATATATATATACGTGCCACGGTAAGACCATCTCTAACGGTGGACCAAACTTGGCATCAGATTTAAATTTTGGTGAAAAAGTCACATTTTGGTGCTCCAACGGTTTCACCAAATTAGTATCAAAATGAGAATTTAACAAAAAAATCATCAAACTGAGAACAGGGTACAGATTTCAGTAAATTACTGTGTGTGACCGTTGGAGGAGGTCAACCGGTCAACCAGTCGCCATGTCTCTGTTTTTCTTTTTCTTTTGCTCTAATAATTTTTTTTTCCAACTATTTGTGATTTTGTATTTTCATTATAAAGATTGCAGAAAAAACAAGTGTGATTTACCCATAACTTTACGTGCAGACATAGGCAGATCAGTCTAAGAAATCCAGCTGCACTTACGGTTCAAAAATTACAAGCTTAGAATAACATGTACATGGGCTGCTGAAGTTGCAGATTTTGAAACCACAAATCTTTCAAGTTTTAAGAGAATTTCAACTCAAACAACTTTCAAGCCCAATTCTGTAGATTCATTATGTTTCTTCTCATTAATGGTGTACTTTTATTAATGAAATACCTTGAATACACTTGCACAAAGACACATTTTTGTATTTATTGAGAAAAGTATGGGTTTGATTTGCATTAGGAATTTAAATAGTGTTCATATACATTCGATTTTTGACAGATTGTAATTTAAATTGTGTTCATATAAATTCTTTTGATTACAGTATTGTTCTTTTTTTTTCCTTTTTTTTTGACATGTCTTACTTTGAGATATGGTAAGAGATGGTTTATAACGGTCCCACTGTGGATGGTACTATGAGTGTTCCAATCAAAATTTAATCTTTCATGTTTTAGTTTGTTTGCAAAATCCAAAATTTATATGTACATACTTGGTTTAAAAATCGAAAATATTATGTTTTGAAATAAAAATTCTACCATATTAGACATGATTTCAATTTTTTTGTTTTTCTTTATAGTTTTTAATTTAAGATTAAAATTTAATTAATTATTTTCATTACTTCTTTAATTTCTTAGATTGCAAGAATCTATTAAATTTAATACTATATTTTGTTTATGATTTTAGTGGATAAATAATTCAATAAAAAATAAAGTTTAAGATGGTTAAAAGTATATTTTGATAGGTACTTGTAGTGTTCCACCAGTAAGATAATGCAAGTTTACCATTATATTAACAATACATGTTAGTTTTATTTTTATTTTATGCTATGAAAATAAAATCAATAATTTTACACATAATACGACTAAATTTATTTTGGGTGGAATAAGGGGAAATTAATTAATTTTATGTATATTATAAAATCATAACAGGTATTAAGTTATTTGTGTATTAAACTCATAATTTTTTTTAATTTTTTTTTTTATAATTTTACACAACTTTTAAATTTACAAATAATACTCTATTTGGTTTGGAGTTTTCAAAAACAATTTTTTGAGTTTTCATCAATTCGTATTTTTATATTTTTAGTGATATTTAAAATATTTTTATTTTTATTTTTTAGATCTACTTAATCTTGATATACTTAAAAGGTATAAAATTTGTACAAAAATCTTTAAAAGATTTATTGAATACAGCAAAATACGAACATGTATTGAATTTTCTTATTTTTGATTTTTTTTTTTGTATTTGGTGAATTTAAAAAAAATTAACATAATTATTATACTTTTTAAGCGTATCTATATTAGGTATATCTAGAAAATTTACGTAAAATGTTAAAAAAAATTACTAAAAAATAAAAACTTAATTTTCTAAAAAGTTTTTATATAAGAGAAACAAAATGATAAAAAAAAAAAACGAGTATAATATATACGGACAAAAAATATTTATCCCGTGCATAGCACGAGGTGAATGCTAGTATATATATATATACGTGCCACGGTAAGACCATCTCTAACGGTGGACCAAACTTGGCATCAGATTTAAATTTTGGTGAAAAAGTCACATTTTGGTGCTCCAACGGTTTCACCAAATTAGTATCAAAATGAGAATTTAACAAAAAAATCATCAAACTGAGAACAGGGTACAGATTTCAGTAAATTACTGTGTGTGACCGTTGGAGGAAGTCAACCGGTCAACCAGCCGGTTGTCCGGCCGGTCGACCGGTTTCCTTTCAAAAAGTGGGTTCAAACCGGTCAAAAAAGGTTCAAATAGGTTAAAAAAAAAAAAAATTGCTCTTACCGGTCGACCCTTCTCTTTTGATGCACAGTTGGAGTAAGCCGTATCAAATTGGAAAAATTAAATTTTTCTACTCAAATTTAATAAAAATTTTAGTTGAACGTTGGAGATGGTCTAAGGGATGTGAAGGAATGGCCCTATAATGTGCCTGTTTGGCAGAAATTATTTACAGTTTATTTCAGTTTTCAGCTTAATTTAAACTATTTTGATGTGTTTGGTTTAGCTTATAGCTTATAGCTTTGTGGAAGTCAGAAATCAGCTTATTCTTTGAGTGGGGCAGGAGATGCTTTAAGAATAAGCTGGAAATCAGCTTAAGCTGAAAATTATAAGGTATAAACTGTTTAGGCATAAGGTATAAGCACTTTCCCACAGCTCTACCAAATAGGGCTAATATATAAAGCATACCCGGGCCGTCTGTCATACCCGGCCCAAAATAGTGAGCCGTACGGGTACCTATTTATGGTTGCCGATTAGGGTTTGTTCTCTTGCCGCGTTTCTATCTTCAGCAACCCTGCCCGCCTGTCCTCCCCAAGGAGCTCTCTACCTTGATCGAAAATGGTCTCTCTCTCTCTCTCTCTGTGTGTGTGTTTGGTGTAAGTTTGTATGTATATCTTGGTACATGACTATGTTTTTTAAATTTGGGTACAGCCGTCGCACAAAACATTCATGATAAAGAAGAAGCTAGCGAAGAAGATGAGGCAAAACAGGCCCATCCCTCACTGGATTCGCATGCGCACCGACAACACCATCAGGTCCTCCTCCTCCTTGTTCCTTTTTTTTCCTCTTCTCTCACTTCACATATCTCACATTGTTCCACTTCTTGATTCTTCGATCACTTGTTATCTAATAATCATATGCTTCAGATTCGAATTGTTCCATTGATTTTTGTTTTGTTTTGTTTTGTTTTGTTTTTTTTTTTAATATTTTATATGTAGGTACAATGCCAAGCGCAGGCACTGGCGCCGCACTAAGCTAGGGTTTTGAGAGACCGGCTCTTCAAATCTCGTTTCTTTGCATTTCGTTAGGTTTTACCTTGATATGTTGGATCTTGCAAGTACTAAAACTCGGTTTCCCTTATTTTAGTGTTCAATTTTTTTTTGGGAATACTTAATTTTATATAATTTCAAGCCTTTAGCATGTTAGTTTCTCAATTGAGCAATTCCATGTGAATGTTGCCTCTGATTATTGTCGTTGTTCTTCTGTTTACCATTGTTATTGATGATTGCTCTTTTATAATTTCTCTGATTGACTAGGATTGTGTTTTTTTCTTTCTTGTCATGAAAGAAAGACGGAAATGCTATTTGTTTTACAAATTGAAACAAAATACTAGTTTAATTTCACTACTTCTTAACATTCTTTCAACAATTGGATCAGTTGTGGAATGTGTTGTTTATTCTAACTATTGCCACTGAAGAAACTCACTGAATTGTTTGTTTGTGCTTGCCCAGGGAAATACTGTGATTTAAGTTGTAGTCTAGCTGCATTTTTAGTTTTTCTTTTTGGCAAATGTTAAAGAGAGCCTCTGGCTCATTGTTTAATATTAGAATTGAAGTAAAAAATATTTTGAAAATATATGAAATGTTAGAAAGTGTATTGATTTCAGTCAAAAGTGTCTTGTATTGTATACCTTTTTTTGTTTCGTTCTTGTGCCATAGCAGCTCCTTGTTAACAAGACTCTTTCTTTTTTGATAACTTTTAATTGCTTTTTATTTCCTTATCCAATGGGGAAATAACCAAAGCCCTTCTTATCATAAGTTCATAACTGCTTCCACTAGCTATTACAATCCATTTGAGAAACTATGAGAGAAAAGCGAAAGGAGCTTGTTATACTTCCCTCAGTTTAGATAATTAAAAGGAAGAGAAGATGGTTGCTATTATTTCCTCTTGTTCCGTAAAGATGGAGGAGAGAGAAGAAAAGTAAAGAAAGTTCGGTTATGTGAGAGCAGGGTAGACAAGGAAATTGGTATTCTTCAAGTAAACTCGTGTATTTTCTTTCCTAATCTCTCCACTTGATTAAAAAAAAAGAGTTTTTAAAGTTTTCCACCATTTGTACATCTCATCTCCTCTTAAGCTAACAGGTGATTTTGGGTACAGGAGAGTTTCTTTACTTCCTCTGTTAATGTCTTGTTAGCCTTCTTTTATTGGTTGGTTGATTGATTCAAATGGAAATGTTATTTGTCAAAGGAGCGTCAGTTGTCGGAAGGTTTTGGTTGATGAGTGGAGCATAGTGATTTGTTTAGAGAAGTGTCTTTATTAACCACCCTATATGAATGAACCAACCTCTATGTCTAGGTTTTCAGATGAATTCTTCTCCTGGCTTTGACAGAATGGTGGCACAAGGTAGAATTAGTTTTGGTTTATAATCATATCGATATACTTTATAAAGTGGTGGCAAAGTTGCTTCAGTTTATCCCATTACTTAATCACTTCTAAATTTGGTTTGTTCTTGAAACTGTTTATATTAGTCCTCATACTTAATCAATCTAGTTATGAAATTATTATGTATATAAATGTTGGTTTCCGATTAACAGAATAAGTACAGCTCCTTGCAGTGTTCAGATCTTCCCATCTCCACCTACACCCCACCAAAAATTTGATAAAAGTAAATAGTAAGCCAATAAGACATGGGGTCAGTATTTCCATTCCAAAGGGGTAAGATTATTTGCATACTGAAACAAGTAACCGCACAAGTTATTCATTTGACTAATTAGGTAAACACTTTTCTGGCCAAGGTAAACCTAGCCCATAACAAAGCCAAAAGCTATATATATCAACATTATCAAATAATTAAATAAAGTTCAAAGAAGGTTTCAAGATGGCGATCTGCACAAAGACTTCATTTCCCACTCTCCTGTACCAAAGACTTCATTTCCCGCTGCCACCGAAAAGGTAACCCAAGGAAGAACCACCACCAGGAGCAGCGTGGACTTTGGTTGAAGGACGATCCTGCACCCATGAAATATCCATAATATTGTCACCATGATTCAGTAACCGTATGAGACATGACAATAGAAATAGAATTCCAGATTTCAAATCAACCACAAAATGGAAGAAATGATAATTTAAAGTACTCTACAAGCAAGAACTCTTGTGGATATGGGGGGGGAGTAAAGTTAAATTAATTTGACAAAAGGGAACTCAAATTTCTGATCACCTCAAAAAAATATAAGGACAGGAATACTATATAAATCAAGAAAATGACACTGAACAAAGTTAAATATCTAGGAGTGATGATTATAGACAACAAAATTTTACTAGGATCATACCGTGATGAAGTTGCCACAGTTTTGTCCATCTGCTCGCAAGTAATTGTTGCTATGACTGCTATTAATGCCAGCAGGAACCTGCTTAGTGTTATCTGCTGGCTGTGAAGCAGCAGCAGGCTTCAGTGGAGGCCCATTATTTGACACCTGCCCCTGGCTCTGCACAGGACGAGGATTGTTGGTAGTCTCTCCGCCCCCAAACAAGTATCCCAATGAACTCTGCCCCCCACCAGCGCTGACTCCACGACCCATTTTCTCTGATTTTAGTTCTTTTTCTCTATCCAGAAGATCAAGGCACTGGACATTGTTCAGATGCAATTGCAACAACAAAGTTTTGTAATATATTGAGGAGAGAATCGAAATTCCATATAAGAAACTCTAATTCCTCAAAGAAAATGTCAAGAAATACAAAGTAATGAATGCACGTGGATCCAGGGAAGCCAATTTTTAACCCATAAAACAAATGCAAACATTTGGAATATTCCTAGAGCTATGCTTTCAGTTAGTAGACTTTGTTCACACAAGATATGTGAAAACAGGTGTTAGTGATTCAGTCCCGGTTTGGTCATAGCATCTTTGCATGATCTTTCTTTCGATCTAATAATTCCTGATTTGGGGTTTTTTTGGTCTTCTTGGCCATCATCTTTTGCTAGCTGTTGTATGCCACTAAACCACAATTTATTATATCAGTTTTTTTCTCTTCTCACTACTAAAAATTCTTGGATATGGGTGCATTTTCACAATAAGAATTCATTACTCTAGTCTCTAGTACATATACTAGCACTTAGAAACAACGATAATGACATGTCGTGAGTAGATCAAAAACCATTTCGATTGTGTAAGTGACAAGGTGATTGAATAAAACACACATTTTAATTAGTTAAAAATGTGTGATGGAGATCCGTCCAACTTAGTGGTGGGTCCCTTCCTATGGATTGAGTCAAATCAGGCCGACAACCAATTACCCGGGCCTAGGCCCACGGAGGCAGTGATGACACCTTTCTTTTTTCTTGTTCAAAAAAAAAAAAAAAAAGATCCGTTCAACTTGTATTTTTTTAGGACATAATTCTGCTATCAAATTGCAAGAATAATTATTAAATTTTACTTAGTCACACATTATATGATTAAAATGTATGCACAAATCAAAAAATATATATATAAACAAAAATAAAAAGATCGTTCTATAGAAATAGAATCATATGTACCACAACAATCATGGAGGTTCAATGTCTCCTCACCGAGTGATTTTCAAATAATAAAAACAGGAAAATGGTACACATCTAGGTACGATGAAGAAACAAGGAATGCACAACGCACAATATCAAGATTGTAAAGCTAAAATTAAAAATTAGAAACAAAATCATAAAATCCTAACCTAAGATCATTGTGTAAGTAAGAGTTACCATACCTGCTTCTCCTTTCTCCTCCGGATCAAATCCTAACCTAAGATCACCGACACACAGAGAGACGGAGGTTAGAGAGAGAAAGACAGAGAAGGAGAGAAACAAGGAACACGAAGGAGTGAGACATATGGTTGTGTGTATATATAGATAGACAGAGAGAGAGAGATGAGGTTTAAATTTTGTGAAACGGATAAAAAGGGATGAAGAAGCTTAGCTGTGGTTTGGGTAATAGGCTTATATTATATGTATATAATGTTTGTGTTAATAAAGTAAATTTTGATGTGGTCAACGTCTGAGTTGGCATATCATGTGGCATATTTGTTCGGTTAAGTGGTCGCCCTGTCTAGTTTGTTAGCCCTGACAGCTACACACGATCACATTCACATGGCCTTCGTTTTACTCTTTCTTTTCTTTTCTTTTCTTTTCTTTTTTAGTTTAAAAAAATATTTTTTTAATTTTCAATGTATTAAAAATAACAAATAAAAATTATGAACCAATCTGAAATAAATAAATAAAAATAAAAATAGCATATTTTTGTTTTTAATCATTTTTAGTGTTTTTCTTTTCAAATTCTTATTAAATATTCACTTTTTAAGTGTATCTTCAAATAAAAATTTTAAAAACTACTAAATCAAATATTATTTAATTTTTATTTTTCTCTAAAGTTAGATTGTTACGTCATTCACATTTTTTTTATTTTATTATTTTTAATAATTTGACGTCTCAATTAACTTGCACACATTTTAATTAATGTTGAGATCTTAAAATTAGAAAAATTCGAATTCAAAATTTTAAATTTTATTGTTTTACGGTTGGACTAATCCCTGGGATTCCATAAATCACATTCATGGTTCAAGGAAAAAATCTGCTGTTGCGCGACAAGAGGTCAGAGTTAAATTCTGATTTGGAAAGGTGGACAGATGGGTTGCTTTAAAGCCATTTGATTTTGGCTTCAAACTTAAGCAATGTTGTTGATGATTATTATGGTGGGAAAATTCTAGGAAGTCTATACCTTATGCATTTTTCATGATTATTTTTGTGATGTTTAGTTATGTTCTGTTGTAAGTTAGTTATGATATTATTTTTATTATAATTTAAGAATGATTTAATTATTTCTCATGTGATATTTGAATATAACTTAAATATATATATTTTTAATTATGACTCTATTAATGATAATTAAACTCACAAATACCATACGTTAACTGGAACATATCATGTGGTAGGCGACAACATCACCTAGCGCTATTTTTTATGAGCAATTGCAATCTAGTGGAAATTTTAAAATATAATTACATAGTTAAAAAATATTAAATTTAAATTATTAATATTTATAAAATTTATTATTAATTAGTAATTATTTTTTTTAAATACGACTGATTTGATATTTTCTTATTTTTTATCAGTATTATCTGGTATATTTTTTTCTTATAGGTTAAAAATTAAAAGTAATTTTCTTTTAATTTCTTAATAATTAATTTTTTTTTTTACTGTAACCTGTATAAATTATTTGTGGCATAAACTGTGCATCAAGGACTGACAATTTTTTTTTAAAAAAAAAAACACTATAAATAGACTTGTAAGCCTCACCGAACAAGTTTATTTTGATTTGTCATGTCTCTTCTATCTTTAATTTTTTTTGTAAGTAGTTTTAATTACAATTAAGTTATACTTCACCAAAAAAATATATATATATAATTCAATGATTTTAAAATACACGAGGACAAAATCAAAATAATAAAATAACATAAAATCATTGTCCGTTTAGTTTAAGCATCTATATGTCACGAAATTATTAATTGGTCCAGAAACAACATTATTGTGATTAGTAAAGGAAATAAAATCCACAATTTTATATTAAGTTATTAAGAAACATGAAAAGACATAGAAAATTTGTGATTAATTTGAAACATAACCACGTAATCAATAATTTTTTCTCCATGGCACATTTCTAGCTACAACTGTCAACCAATAGTTGGAGTGCGATGCAGCACCTTGAGAGAGAGAGAGAGAAAGAGAGAGCCACTGTAGGTGTGAGTTTTCGGGCTTGCCATCCGAAAAATTTATGTTAGAATTTTAATAACAGGGAACACACAAATAATGCACCACATTTCAAATATGTTGTTCTGCATTGGTGTAGCTTGAAAGGAAGGAAGCAATATATTCCAACCTCAAACCGAAATGAAATCTCAATTAAAAATTCACAAAATTATCTAGCAACAGGCCTATGGAAAAAAATTTCGTCCCGAGCAAATATCCCTGTGCACATCTCTATGCACTGTTTGTAGGATCCAATTAATCATAGGTTCGATTCAACATTTTCATAGGCTTAATGAACATCCTTTCCTCAAATCATAAAACATCAAATATATAAACAAAGCAAAAAAAGAAGAAAAGAAAATAACCCTACAACATTGCTTGTGAAGATTTTCTCATAGTGCAGGAAAATTGAATTCTGAAATTGGATATGAACATGTTAAATTAATTAAAATCCCCAAGTAGACATTTGGGCGCTAAACAATTTTTTTTTTAAAGGCGAAGATGCTCGCAGCACTGCACATACCAAGGGAGGGAATTCAGAAAGCAAACCAGCAAACAGATGCTAAGTTGATGGGATCTTTGAGATCTCTACCAATAGCTTATGTAGGGCTTGGGGTTTTGAGAAAAAAGGGGAGTGGTCGGCACCTTTAAGACGAAAAACCTGTTCAGGTGGGCTTTTGTTTATCATGCTCTCCTGTACTGTGATGGATATAGCATTATCATCCGGAGTTTCTATATAAAACCGCCTAACAGAGCCATACTTCTTCTCAGAAAGAGAGAGCTTCTCCAAAACTGGAGCGAAAGGGATTGGCCTCATTGACACAGATGCTAGGGCAACATCCTGGATCACAAGCAGCAAAATGGAATTTAGCAAAGATTAAAACAAGCTCACATGCACAAACATGATCAACCAGAAAGCTAATCATGTATCAAATATTGACTAGACATCGGGACTTCTGTTGGAAGCTAATCATATGTCAAAAAGAAACTATAAGCAAGTTAATACATACCTTGGCAGGACTCTGGTTGAATAACAAGTCTCTTAATAGTGACTTGTCAAGATTGATTGCGGTTGGAGGCTGGGTGTTTCCATTTGCATACAGGAATATCTGAGCCTGACGCATCAGATCATTTGAATCTGCCTGCAATAATTATAAAATGTCACTCATTGGAAATCGACCCAAACGTGTAAATTCCCAACTCATTTAGCATAACATTCCAAATATCTATAAACCTGAATAAATTTGAAAACCTTGTTCCCACATGTAATAAGACAAATCAATTTTGCCACCATGTGAAGCTTACACTCAAAACATGCATTTGATTGAGTCAAACACACGTGAGGAATACAACTGATGCCTTAAGGCTAGACCACTAGAGTAATTTCCAATAGCCTAAGACATCACTGAAATTCAAAATCTCATCCCGGATCATTTTCAAAGCTTTGTGAGATTTGCACATTGAGGCTAAAAGTGTATGCCACAAGGTATAGCGTTGAAGATTTAAATCAACTTAGTTTGATGCCCTCTGCGTATTTATGCAAGGGCAGGCACATTTTGAGTATTGTGGCTGAATACAAGCAAGATGCAAAGGTAAACTGTGCACAAAATATATGTTGATCTTGCAGACATTTGGAAACAACTAAAGAACCTTCACAAGTGAAACCACACTCCAGAAATTTTAAAATGCATTTCAAGAATTTTCATGCATAAATCAGTTCCAGTTTTTGAACTCCAGAACCATTGACTCACATGCCAGTAAAGATTCCATTAAAATAAATGAGTGACAGGAAAACCTTTTGGGAGAACATATCAAGGGTACTTTGTCCACTAGTTAACATTGCTGCAGCTACGTAAACGGCTTTCGAAACTCTATGTGGAAACAGCTCCATTGCATATGATATACATGTACCACCAAAATCATGCCCTACCAAAATCACCTGCATAAATCAAGAAGTAAAGAGTTCAAATAAGTAGATGTCTCAAACTGATATAAGAGCAGCCACTTTGTGGAAATCTCAGGTTGCCAAGGATGAAAACCCAGGTTTGAGTATCAGAGCAGCAGTTTTGTGCAAATAATGCCAAATGTTGACCCCTCATCCTTTTCAGCTATGTTTGGATATTGGATTTGGGGGAGGGAAAAGAAAAGGGGAGGGAAGAATGAATGAAATATAAGATAAATCGTTTTCACAAATGTCTTACATTTTTTCTCCTCCACAAATCCCTTCAGCATTTGGCTACTGTTGGTGACAACCAACAGTTAACGGAAAGGAAAATGATGTGTCACCAGAACCGGTTTTTTTCACATCCTCGTGGATCCACACAACAAACAACATGTGTATGTGTAGGACCTACCATATCTACAAAATGTACATATGACATTTGTTATGTGAATTCATGTAGGAGGTTGAAAAGAGCCTGTTAAATTCATCGTGTGATGCATAGAAGCACTCTAATGGAATTTAACATTAGGTCTGAACAATGCTACTGATATAAAGAACATTCTGGAGGATGTCTCCTGTAGGGGTGTTCGTGGGTTGGTTTGGTTCGATTTGACACTAATTTTGGAACCAATTCAATCATGATCGGTTCCAAATTTTTGGACCCAGAATCAAACCAATCATATACTAGAATCAACCCAAACCAACCCAATGTAGCTCGGATTGGTTCGGTTTGGAACCATGGTTCCATTATATTAAAAATAATTGAACCAACATTTTCTTTTGATTTGTCTACCTCTGATTTTGCATCAACATTTTCTTCTTCTTCCAAGTGCTTTAAAAATTCAAATTGAAGAGACTTCACATGTTCACCACAACTACTATCAGTGAGCTTATCAACTTCCATTTCATTTGAACTTTGACTCATCCTATTTAAAGAATAACTTGAAGCAGAGTCTAGCATTTCATAATAAACATACATACGGTTCATGAGTTCTCTTATTTTCTACACTAAATCATTTACCTTGTCAATAGGCTAAATCATTTAACTTGAAGTAGAGTCTATTACTCTTGGACCAACAATTCAAAATTTGTTCAATTGCACAAACTTCATAAAAATAGGAATTTTGAAGTAACATACAAGACTATGGTAATATAAAGACATGTCAATATAATCAAAAAAAAAAAAATTATATATACATATTTAGGTTCGGTTCTCGGGTTAATTCGGTTTAGACAAGACCTAAACCAAGAACCAACCCAATCCTATCAGTTTGACAATTTGAAGACCCAAAACCAAAGCAATGCACCAAAAAACCAAACCAACCCAAAGAGGTTAGTTTGGTTCGGTTCTTCGGTTCTCTGGGTATTTTGAACACCCCAGCCTAAGAAAGACTCCAAAGCTGATTGTAACAGACCTCACTTGCATGAGCTGTACATAAGCACCACCAACTTATGTTTAATGGAAGTATCACAAAACGAGAAACAATTTGGTAAGGAACCAGATACCCTAGAAATTAGCCACATCACCTATGAAATATAATGAAGAGAAGTCTATGTGATTCAATTGTACAACATCTGAGATACTAAATTCATCAAATCTATGTGAACTGTGACAGCAAACCCTTGATAAAAGATCCCAGTAAACTTCCACTTTAAAGCCTCCATTACTTCTTTGTCACATAGCTGCAAACTGTTAAAGCATGATAAATGAAAATCAAGAAAAGAATCTGATAGAAATAGAAGAGTACCCTGTCCCCATCAGCAATTTTTTCAAGAAAACCAGTAAGTGGCTTCACATATTGCGAAAGACTTGTGATGCTGTTTGTATCAAATGAATGAATTCCAGAACCAGTTAAATCTATGGCAGTTACTCTGAATCCACCTTCTTCTAAAAGTGCTATAGTTTTGTACCAACACCAAGCACCAAAACCACCTCCATGGACAAGGACGAAATGGTTGGTCTCTAGCTCGTCATGCTTTACTTCCTGTCAAAGAGAAAGTAAGGAAATATAAGAATAATTAAGTAGGATGAAGGAAAAACACTTACACTCGTGGAATCAAAGACAAGACACCACAAAATGACAGGTAGCAAATAAATTAGTTTAATTGATTCCACATCTACTCAAAAAATCTAAGGCACATCTACGAAGCATGGACACTTCAACTTAGTTGTTGTTTCTGTGTCCAACACAGAAACACCGGGACGAATACCGGGACGAATACCAAACACACCACGTGGCATGCCTCATTTTTTAATTATCTTTTTTCCTCCTTGACATGACGGGGATAGGTAATGAACATGTGTGTCCTGCCTTTGGACACACTCTAAGATATTATCTTCTATGTGTTGTAAAAAGTGTCATTATAAATTAATAACCACGACTATGTAAACATCTGGTCTATGTTAATCATCACTTTGTAGTATTCTCCATAAACAATACAAGTGGCATTCTTTCCCTTATCTAAATCAATGTTTGATTGTTGAAATTGCTAATTTTATAACTTGTAATGATTATAGGAAAGTTTTCTATTTGTGCTAGAAGCAGACCCACAATTTCTGATGTTGATAAAGGCAAACAACTATGATGTAATAGTTTATAATTAATAAAATATGTTAAAATTTATCACCTACTTCACCCACTTAAACCTACTCCACTAAACCTAACCCACTACACCACTACCACCTCACCTACTCCACTAAACCTAACCCACTAAATCCACATACTCTCCACCTACTTCACCCACTTAAAACTTTTAATGAAATAGTCATAAACTCAATATACCAAAAGAATGCATACAAACTTGAAAGCAAGAATTCAAAATTACATAATAAGTATAGATCTAAATTTATATCAAATTCTAATCCAAAATGCTGCCTGCGATTTGACATTCCTCTTGTCTATGCTGCTATAAAATGAAAAATATGACATTCCTTTTATTTTGCTATCAATATCTTCCAAATCAAATAATATTAATTATTGATAGCCTATACATCAATTTTATCAAATATTGGGTTTGTAACCATAGAATTATAAATTAGAATAATGGACATACATAGTGATTGAAGACAACGAAAGGTCTTCCAAGGGCAGGAACCATGAGCTTTTGGGCAGCTTAAACTAAGTATTTGCTTGGTCTCTACAATTATAACCAAAAATTCATCCACATTCAGAAATGTCGTCCTATCTCTTTGTAGAGGGCCTACCACCAACTACTTCCTATCTGAGGACCCAAACTGCATCAACCGGCTCTCTTAAATGTTCACTAATAACTTAACCATGTTTGTCAACAGGAGAGAAAGGGACACCATCAAGAAACCTCCAAGTTTCAACCATCATAAGCTAACAATGTTTAAGAATGAAACCAAGTCAAATAAGCCATTGTTTATTTCAAAAATGTTTCCATTTGAAAAAAACCTGAATTTGAGGGTTGTTCATAAAAAAACTAATGGAATACAGCACAAAATCCAAGATGAATTGGTGAAAAATAAAAATCCGTTAGGGTTAAAAAATAAAAAATAAAAAAAGAAGTGCATTCATCTCATGAATATGGAAATAACTTGGCAATTCAACAATCACCAATCGAGATACTTGAGTCAAAATTGGTGGTGTGGAATACAGGCACCATGGAGGCTCTTCCATTCACTTTTGGAATAAAAAGTAAAACTCATGAGTCATCGTATTACTCTTTTACCTGGCACTGATGTTAACCTATCACCAGCAGCTTAATTTACATTCTAAGCATATTTTCAAAACCACTAACTTCCAGTCAATTTTCTTACCCCCCAAAACAATACAGCCAATTCAATCAGATGAATTTGGATTTTTGTACTGAAAGTTGAAACTTCAGCCAAATGAACATCAGAAGAAGAAGAATAAATTATGCCCAAGTTATGAATTAATTAGAATAAATTATGCCTAAATTTGAGTTCGTTCCGATTTGTAGTCAAAGGTCCAATTATTACACAACTTTCACCAATGGCATTAGTTTAAATGTAATGAAAATAATTACAAATAATCAGAACTCTTTAACAAATTTACCAAAAATGTTGGAGAAATAATTTACCAACTTTCACCAAATTTACCAAAATGTTGTTGGAGCAAATAATTTCAATATAATCAGAACTCTTCAACAATGGCATTAGTTTAAATCGTGATGCAAAACCAAAACACAAAACAATTTTACTTTTTAAAATGGGAAAAACAAAAAAAAAAACAAAAAAAACTTGATTCAAAATTACGAATTACCAAACCTGATTGACAAGCTGGTGAGGCTGAAGCAGAGGATCAGTGAGCGACCGAGCCCTAGAACTCGAACTCCGAGGCAACGCCTGCTGCTTCTTAGAGTTGGCGGTCGGGTAACGCAAAGAAGTCGAACGATCAAACGCCACAGAGCCGCCACCGCCGTTCTGCAACTGGTGCTGGTGTTGCTGAAACAGAATCGCCGCCGCGAGAGCCTGCTGGTGAATTGTGGAGTCGTCGAATGTCTCCTTCCTCGACGATCGAATTCGAGTCCACCGATTGCTCGAACCACCAGCAGCAGAAACTGATGACTGGTTGGATATGCGCTTGGAGGGCTTCTTCTTCTTCACAGCTTTGCGAGAGAAACAGAGGCCCATCGTGATGGTTGCATGTAAAGAGTGAGAAAGGGATAGATACAGAAAGTAGTTGTCGAGAGAAAAAGAAGAGTCGGGGAGGGGCGTGTTTCAGGTGAAGGAACGGAAAGAGGGCTGATGACTGATAGAGGGAGAGAGAGACAGACCGTTCCTTTGAATGAACAATGAAGGTATTTTATGAATGACAATAATATGACTTGGCAATGTGACTTGGCGTATAAAAGATGGCTCTGGTTTTAATTAGAGCTCTAAGCGTGGAATTTATATAACACTAATGTTCGGTGTTCCGAATATTTATGACTTAAATAGTTTAAATGTGTTAAAATAATTTTAATTCAGGATAAAATAATGTCGTTCTGACATATTTAAATTATTTGAGTCATATAAATTTAGATCATTAAATATTTTTCTTTATATAATGTGAGTTTTATGTAGGTTGTACTTTCATGTAATAGAAATTTTTAAATTTTTAATATTTTTATTGATAAAATAACTTGGGCATTTTAATTGTCAGATTATTAATTTTTCGGTGATATATATATCAATTAGTATATTACTTAACATATCAATATATATTATGATATTATTATTTTAAAATTATAACTTCACTTATTATATAAATTATAAATATTTAAATTTTTTAAAATTATAGGGCAAATTACAAACACCCCCTCGAGATTTGGTGAAAATATAGATTCTCCCCTGAGGTTTGAAAAATTACATCTCACCCCTGAGGTTTATATTTCCATAACAAATTGCCTCCTGAAGTTTTTATTTTCATATAGATTTCCCCTAATTTTTCCTAATGTGTCATGAAAATTTAACCTTCAGAGGCCAATTTGTAATTTCTCAAATCTCAGGGGGAAATTTGTATTTTTATCAAATCTTGAGGGGTGTTTATAATTTGCCCAAAATTATATCATATCATTTATTAATATACTAATTGATATATTAATTAATATATATAATATTAAACTAATACATTAATTTTCTAATCATATAGTTCAGCCCGTTACTGCCGAGGCCCACACTTCGTGTGACACAAGAATGTTTTTCTTTCTTTTCTGAGACCTGGGGAGAACATTCCAGTCCTCAAGTTGTATTCATTACGCCAATCCTTGAGGTTAACAGAGGAAACTATAATGAACGGCAAATACAAAAATATTATTGTTTAGTTTAGTATTTAAAAATTATTTAAATGAATTTTTTTATATTTTAGATAATTTTTAAATACACCTAATTTCAATATATTTTATATTTTAAATACACCTAATTTCTATAATTATTTTATTCTTTTTAGTGTTATGAGTAAATTTTAAGTTAACAAATTTAGAATCAACAAAGATAGGATGAGTTTGGATCTAACCTCACTAATCGAACCCATATCCATCGTACTAAAAAACAAAAGGGGTATTTTTTTTAAGGTCCTTGATATTATGATTTTATAGTATAAAGGACATCAACTATTTTCATGATGTCTAAGGTCCCTCAACATCAATCCAGAGAAAATTGATC